TTACCGTGATGGCCTCTGAGAAGCGTTGCTGCACTCTGGGGCAGGTTGGCAGAATTTAGCGGAATCCCGCCGAATAACGTGTGTGAGTCGTTGGAGCACAGAACTACATGGTTGGAAGGATTAATGTCGCGTTCCGAAACTATTATAATATAGATATGCCTCCCTGATTAGACGAAGAATTTAGTAGAAGAACCCTCAAATGCTACATACCAAGCTAATTACCATCTAATCATGCTGCCACAAGAACGTGACGACCGAAATAATGAACAGGTGAAAGAATTCGGATATATTCACGAACGCATGTAAGCGCGAGCGCTACATTGCAACTAATAATCGCGCAAGTTTGAATCGAAGCTGCTTTCAGTTACGACTTGACCCAATGACCCAGTAAACTACCAATGTTTGCTTGTTAATTGGTTCTAACTGAACTCGGTATATGCCTCATATTGTAAGGCATTGACTATAAAAAACACATATAATGGATTGTGTTGCGCAAAGGTTAAAAAGACAAATTGATACCAATTGGAACCACCACAGAGCCATCTCTCTGGTATATCAAGATCAACAGATTCCATCACTTTTTGACAAATATTCACAAAATATAAATTGCTTCAAATGACTTCATTTGGTCAATCATGGTCAACAATGTAGTTCGGGAAAATTTTATGCCAACTTTCAAGGTATGTTTATTATAGCAGTTAAAACATAATTATTTTATAGTTCTGTCACCTAAGTTAAATGTTAACTAATCTTCCAAATTCTTAATCATTAAGATTTCATAATCATCACTTAGTCCCCAATCATTTGGTAGATTCAGCTTTTAGCGACACTTTTATTTATTTTGAAACCCAATTATATTTGATGATAGTTATTAAGTTACAACTAATTATGAGACAGATATAATTTTAAAGAACCAATATTAATATATACATATGATCACTGACAATCCATAAATGTATACCCCACATTGCTTATTTATTTTATTTATACGTGTTTGTACAAACATTGATTTTTTTTTTAAATACAGAATACAAGGCCAATATATCACAGAGCAGTTTACTGTTACCACCGGTGTCAGATAGCAACTTACAACATTCCTGCCAAATTTATTTTATGGGCAATTCATCAAAAGAAACTAATCGTGCGTTTGCACATAAACAATTTAGTAAGGGTCTAATTGTAGAACAATTAACCAACTTTATTTCGATGAACACAATCAGATTATATTGTTATAACTGCCCTGGACTGATGCCATCAGATAATCACAAAATTGTAATCAGAGCTGATAAAAACACCTGCGGCCGGATCAAACATGCAAGGACGTTTTAATGCACCAACTATTGGATGAATTGCTATCGTTGTAGTTGGAGAAAACTTGGAATCCGTGATATTGTTTTACATCGTCAATGATTCAGTTACAACTTATAAAGGAAACCACACCGGGCTATATGACCGCACTGCAATATCCCATTATATTTTGGCAAGGTGAAGATGACTATGATTTCTCAATAAAAAATTATAAATCCCATTACAGTAAATTAAAAATATAGTTAATATCTTCAAGTCACTATATTTATTGTATTTTAATTTTATATTTCAATGTTATTTTAAACAAATCTATTTTACAGGTTCATAACTAACAAAAGTCAGTTCAATGAAGACAATCCAACATATATCATATACGTCTTTATATCACACAATATATTGTTGACACACTGTATGTTACAATTGAAACGGAGAGATTAACATTCATCAGTGAATCACCAAACTCCGATCTGAAGATATATTCACTTCGAGCGATTATTACTGAGAAAGCACACGATGTTGGTCGACATGGACTATTCTCCAGCAAATAACATCGGAAGCCCTCGGACATAGCACATATACATACATACATGTCGGTAATTTGTTCAGTTCATTTATGGTTACAGCAGATTGTTTCAGCACTTTACATGCATCCGCACTGGATAGAAATCAAGCAGGAGGTTTATTCCCTGGGCAATCACCCAATTGATCGTCATGATATTACAGCAAAGAGTCTTTAGACAAAAATTGAAACTTTATGGATTTCATCGTAAAACATTAGGTGTTTGGGGAGAGAACACGGCTTGCATGGATGTATTCTGTGGAGTTGCAGAAACGAGGATTTGCCATATGCACCATATTTTGATTGGTTGGTTGAAAAGATAATGGCCAAATGAAGTTGATGCCCGTTGATATGAGCTGAAATCCCTGATGTCACAAGTAGATCCTGGATGCATGAGTGTTATCTACAAAATATGATACATGGTCCCTGTGGAACTCTTAATCAAAAATTCCACCCATGTATGATGGATGGTAAATGTTCAAAACGATATCCACGGACATTAATATCGGAAACAAGTACTGGTAATGACGGTTATCCACAGTATCGTCGACGATGACAGCTACACAATGAAGATCCAACAATGTCAAAATTTAAATCAACAGAATCATTGAATAGATACTTGGAATTGTTCCATATTCACACCATTTATATCAAAGACCTTTACAGCACACTCTCTACATACACAATTCGTGAATCTATCTAAATAACATTTTACATATCATATACACAAGGGAGTGATGATGCTGTTGATTTGGATTGGTGCAGAGAATTCAATGATACAAGTTACTCAATAACAAATATGGTCGCTATGTTAGTAGTTAATGAACAGATGGCAATATTTGTCTTTTCCTAAGATTGAGAAGACACCCTCCGGTTGTTCACTAGCCTGTATGCATTAAGGAAAATGGACAAAAGAGGAGTGTATATATACAGCACAGAACGCCCAATACAGCTTGCTCAGCCACCATCTACTGTACATTAACCAGTTTTTTTGAGACATGCCAAAACGATGACTTTGCACAAACATTGCTTATATTCTGAAATGCCAAATATTTTATTACTTATGAATCAATCCTTAAGGGAATTTTAATTACGACCAACAAGGAAAACACAGTTCCAGGATACCCAGATGTGTATTCACCGATGCCATATGGTCGACTTATTTTCAATACATCCTAGCAATGATGAATGTTTTTATTCACGACTGCTATTAGTCAATGTAACGTTGCCCTACATCATTCCAACATTAACGAACGTGAATATATACGATGATTTACTGATGGTGTGAATTGTGTGGATCTACAGAGAAGCCTGTCAGGACCGGTGCCAAGTCGTAGAAAATGACGCTCATGGGATCAAACTCTTCAGCGGTATGCTTAATTATCATCAAACACGGTCATTCAAATTACGAAACATTTTTCTCTATAAATCAATATCTACGGTGTTCCCATCAACACAAATGGAAATTTTGGGGGATCAAGCTACAAGATTAGTTATGTGTATGATATTTGTATCAATACGAAATAGAATTAAATACAAATCAGGCTGAAGAAATTTACAATGAATCATTGATTTCAATTGAGGACCATGTGCTTCATGATGTCAAACAAACTATTAATTCAATTATGGCCTGACCGCGCCCAATCGTCAATGCGGATTGCTTTTACAACCAAGAGTTGCATCTGGGAGAAAAACTGTATGATCTCAACACTTTGAAAGAATTAATTTTAAAAATCTTCCCTAGTGAATGACAACAGAAGTATGTATTTGATACTCTTATGAGTCACTGGTTAGTAACAAATGATTGAAAAAAAACTGCGAGGTTTACTGCTTAGATGCACCTGGGAGCGATGGTGTCCTGTGCTGCTCATTTTGATAGTTTCAGTTAATCTTAGCAACGATCCGCTGGGTCAAATAAAAATTGCACTTGCACTCGCTTCTTCACGGAATCGCAGCAACTTGCCTTAACGTAGGAGTAGAACAGCCTGTTCAGCATTAAAATTGCGCATCTCTAACATAATAGACGCAACATACTCGAACGCGAGATGCCACAGACAGATAGTCTCAACCAGTAACTCTGCGAATAGGGCAGGTCTTATGACAAGCAACTGATAATACCATCTGTTTTGGGATTGAGTGCACGCATGGACACATAAAAAAATCTTTGGATGACTTAAACAAAGACCTTAAAAGATTACGGGCAATATATCCAAATTTGTGGGCAATATATATTATTAGCAGCGAGATTTCGTCAAATTCCTAGTGGATTCCAACGGAAAATCAAACAACAAAGCCCTAGCGATATACAATGGCATGTGGCGAAGAGCTCACACTGCGACAATTTGTCCACATGGTACAAGTACTTGTATTTAACGAGAGATTATGTCGTTGTCAGGAGGCAGTTGCAAGAGGGACCCAAATCTGTAAGGTCCGCTAGTAAAAAATAAAAACTATAACAATACGTATATAATATATACCGAATTTCAATCGAGTATATAATTAATATAAAATAATATAATATATATCTCTATATATGTTTTACCAAACATCATGGTTGGTTTCAATTCTCAAAATTAATCTCGTATACTACTATATGAAAATCAAAGGAGTTTCCCGAAACCATAACATTCTTCGGAGAATTCAACAACCGTACTCGAAACTAGAGATGTTTCTAAACACGTATAAAAACAAAAGTGCAATTGATGTAAACCATAGACATATGCGTCAAAGCACCTTATGATACATTTTGTTTAGTATGACTAGAGCTGTCTAAAACGAATGGTCAATCAAAAAACACCTTCGCGATCAAAGTATTTTAAACATTAAGCCCACAATCGCTAATGTAAAATTTATATTATAAATTATCGCTCCGTTTCTGTTCCTAAATTACCGACTGAGTAAGAACCGACTTTACCACTAGACTATTTGTAAGAGGTAAATTCAAAAGCAATGTGGAGGAAAGGAAAGTGGGGAAAATATCTAAAACGTTATAACGAACAGTGGAAAAGTGATCCATCTTTTAAAGGTGAGTGAATCAAATTCATTGATAAACATCAGTTACCGTGATCTTTTGTTCGTGAACATTGAAACATTTTTTATTTTTAAAATAATCTTTAGCATGGATTCAACCTTCGACGGAAGAAGCAGTCAATGCCAGAAAAGCTGAAGCTTATTGCAAGTTTTGTGCAACAAATCTGAGAGCCCATAAATCTGATCTTCTGGATCATCGTCGTACGAAAAAACATACAGCACGCGAAAATTCTCTTGCGACGACATCTCGGGGGAGATTGGACAGTTTTGGTTTGGTATATATTAAAATGGTTCCCAACCAACATTTTCCAGAATTTTTAACAGATTTTGTTGATTCTTTTTTTATTTGAAGCTGTTCTTATGCTTAATATTTAATTAGTAATTAGTTTCAAAAAACAGAAAACCTTTTTTATTTATTTAACAATAATTTGTTTTCTATTAAATTCTCTTAAAAATAAAAAAATAGAAGTCAACTGTGTAAAAATTGCGGTACCAGGAACATTTTAAAGTTGACGAAAAGAAAAATGAGCATGCATTCTATACGCCCTTCCTTAGCTATTACAGCGCCAACAAAATGCCGTTTGTTTTTTGTTTCTTTTAGTAAAAAGAGCAAGTTTTGGAGTTAGACATAAAAAATATTTGCAATATGTATATATTTCAATATTTTCAATAAGTTACTACGAATCTAATCTCTACTGAACAGTCATGTATTTTAAGCCAACTTCACGTAGGTGGCCGGAGATTGGAGTTTACCCAAAAAGTCTTCAATACATGACAAAATTTATTATATGTATATATTAAAACATAAGTTACAATTTTATGCATGTTTTTTACACTTATTTTATTACATGCAACTCGCATTTAAGGGTATGGAAAAGTCGTATCAGATTTATTATTAATTCTTATGTAAATAATAAAAGCATTAATAAAGAGAATATAGAAATTGAATTTGTGCTTATTTCTTTTTTAAGTTTAAAGTTTGCGAAAAAGGCAAGGCATTAATTTTTCTAACTGTACATTGATTTTTTTTCCTATTATATTTTTATGATTTTATTTATTTTAGGTTACATTCAGATTGATAATTCGGCAAAAACAAATGAGATTCGGCTGGCTGTGTTTACCGCGATGCACACCTCTGTGTCTAGTATCGCCTAGGATCGCTTTTATGCCAACTAGGCAAAGGTAGTAAACTGGAGAATTTAAAATTGCATCGAACCAAGTGCTCGAAACTAATTTCATCTGTCATTGGTCCATCAATATTAAAAGAAATTATTGAGGATATCGGTGAAACTCCGTTCGCTGTAATTGTAGACGAGTCAACGGATATATCGAGCATCAAATTTTTGGCACTATGCGTGTCATATTATAGCAGGACAAAGAATGACTTAATCACCGAATTCTTAGGCGTTGTCGAAGTGCCACTTGTCACTGCCGAAGCATTGTACATTGCATTTACTAATATTTTTAAGACGATTAAGTTGCCGTTGAAGAATCTGACATCTCTTGGCACAGATGGTGCAGCCAATTTGTGTGGCCAAAAACATTCCTTGTTTGCTTTGTTGAGAGACAAAGATTTACCAAACTTGCAGTTAATAAAATGCATATGCCACACAGTAGACAATTTCGCATCGAAAGCCTGTGCAGAACTACCTTGTTCGCTGGAATTTTTGATTCGAGAAAGTAGAAATTGGTTTTCGAACAGCTTCAAGCGAAAAGAAGAATACGCTAATCTGCATAAAGTATAACGTATATAAGGTATAATGTATAACAATTATCGAAATAATAAAAATATACTTAATCTTCTTGGATAAAAATTCTTAATAATCCTAAACAATCAAACAATTTTCGTATTATTTTAGGCTATAAATGACTTCAAGAATCCACCTGAATTGGTGAAGCTTTGCACGACAAGATGGCTGATTTGGTATCCAGCAGTTACGCGAATACTAGAGAAATGGTTGGAACTGAAAACGCTTTTTAACATGATGGCTTCCTCCAAAGATTTTACTGCAAGTCAACTATGCATGATGTACCAGGATCAGACAAATTTATTATATTTAACATTTCTGAAGCCTGTGTTACAAGACTTAAACGAAATTAACCTTCTTTTTCAATCAACACGGTGTGACGAAACTTTATAAAGATCTGCGTAAGTTGATCTTTTCACTTGCTACACGTTTTCTGATACCACATTCAATCAAACAATCAGAAAACACGCATACTTTGCGCAGATGTGAAATTGATATGTTGAAAGAAGCGAAACTACCTGCCAAACGATCGAGTAGATTTGGGCGCTAGTTTCAACAAAATGACGTCTTCTCCACATTTTGGAGTTACGGATGAGGAACTCTCAGTGGTCCGTGAAAGACGTACAAAATTGCTAATCACTTTGACTCACCAGTTGTTAGAAAAACTTCCCAACAACGTTACTACAATACATACGTTTCGAGCAGCTTCCTTTCGACCAAGATATTATTTGTTTTAGAATATAATGTAAATAAATAAAAATGAATAGCAAATTAATAGATTTATTTGATAATACTTTATTAAATGATTTTATGCACTCAGTTCCAGATATTGACATTGACAAGCTGGACGCACAATGGCGTTCGCTGGGAACGCTGACGCTTAAAGAGATCAACCCTGAGTTTTCTGATGGAATGGAAATTGACTCCGTGAAATTTTGGGGTCACGTCAGGCAACTATCAAACGCAGTCGGTGAAACTCCATATGAAGAACTGGCAGATTTCTGTTTAAAAGCTCTCACTTTGCCAGTGAGTAATGCTGTAGTCGAGTGCGTTTTCAGTATAATGAACGCTGTAAAGACGCGAGCTCCAAACAAAATGCAGCTTGAAATTTTGCAAGCATTATTCGCATTCGGATACATTTAAAGGTATCTATATATTCAAATTATTTAAATGCAATTAATATATTTCGATTACTAATATTGACATAAAAATTTGGTCAGTTCTTTTTTTTAATTTAAAAGAATAAATAAATGTTTATTTTCAAATTATAATTTCTAATGTATACAATTTTGATTATTGTAGGAAGTTTTGAAATCGTGCTGTATAGATTTTCAACCATCTCAGGACATGCTGATGCGCTTCACATCGCAAATGTATGAATCTACGCGCAATTCTAAAGATTTAGGCACGCCAAGGCAAAAGTCGAACTCTACCGCAGAAGGAGAAGATTTGCTAGAGATGATTACTTTGTTCGATGACGAATAATATAATAATTCTATTCGATAATGAAAGTCATGATTTTTTGTGAACGCGGAAATCGAAGACTATGCACAATGTTTATAATGTTGATTTAGTATATTTATTATATATTTACTAATATGTTTATAAAATTGTAATGAGTATAATACAATAAATATGTTTACATATACGAAACATAAAAGACTTTATTATGAAATTCATATTTTAAAGGATTGGGTGGCTTAACTGCCATCTGTCGGCGGATGTATGTCATAACAATCTGGCAACCCTGCTCTGGGGTAATCACGACTGTGGGGGATATACATGTATTTGCGCTTCCATGAACATATAACTTAGGTTATATGTTAGGTCCCAGCATCTCTGCCAAGTAAATAGTCGTTTATTTTGAAAAACGATTCCTTCTTCGAAATTATTTTTTTGTAAAATTTTGGAGAGGGTTGCTACGATCCCGCAAGACCCCCGTTAGCGGGTGCAGTACTCTACGGTGATTTATTCTCCGTTGAAACTCCTCAAATCGCTGAATGTGCTCCATTTTCCCAGTCACTTTTCAGCTACAGCCGCTGTTTCAAATCTACCTATGCCGAGGTCTGTAATTGCGAACCACGTCTCGTGCCACGGTCTAAAAATGGCGCCGGAACTTCGTTCTAGCAAGCGAAATCCTGGTTTGAAATCACATCTCAGAGAAACCGCGTTCAGACCCCACAGGCCCAGAATGTAGATTCAACCATTACCTAGTGAAGGCCAAAATTATGTTACCACCCATAAAACAAAAAGAAGCGGAGTTAGGGAACGAAAGGAAGACAAAAATGAAAATAGGGAAAGTAGTAAATATAATATAGCCGGACTGTCACAACCAAGTATATGATATTTATTTCAAAATCGATTGAATAATTTACTGAATTAAAACGTAGATGGATCAAATAAGGAGATATATGAACACCTCAAAGATAGTCTACATCAAGCGGATAAAGAAGCACAGGTGAAATAACGTTTAATAAAAGGAGAGAGAGAGGATCTATTGGATTACTTAAGTCCTGGAGCGGGAAATAGAGGAGAAGAGACTGTATGAAAACTGGTTGAGTACCAAGAAAGAAGAAAATAGAGAGGAATATAAAATACAACGAAATAGAGATATAAACATCATAAGAAAAGAAAAACAATCATGGGAGCATAAATGTCAAGAAGTAGAAATGTACATAGGTGGAACAAAAACAAGTGAGATTTGGAAGTTCATAAAAGAGGTAAAATCTCCCCAAATTTAAAAAGTTTGCTAATGGAAAGAGTACTTAAAGTGTGGCTTACGTAACACCAATATATAAAAATGAAAGGAAAGACATGTGAGAAAATTATTGAAGGATAGCAGTGACAAACACGTTCAGTAAGGTATATGAAAGAATATTAAGAGAATTAATACGAGTAGAGGATGGATACAGGGAGTACGAAGAAGAACAAAGTACTTTGATAACCTGTTTTGTCTGTCCCAAATGATGCAAAAGTAATGGGAGAGAATTCCACATGGTCTTTCTTAACATAGCAAAGGCCTATGATAGTGTGCCAGTAATAAAGTTATGGGAAGTTATGAATAAAAGTAATGTAAATAAAATCTTAATGAGTGCGGTGAAGATAATGTATACTGATCAAAAGGGAAAAGTATAAAAGTTGGGAAACAGATGATCCAAACATTTCCTATATCAAAAAGACTACGGCAAGGATGTTGTTTGTCACCTACCCTCTTTAAAATGTATGTTAATGCGGTGTCACAGGTATGGAAAAGAAAATGTGCTAGGATGGGAACACTACTTATTGATAATACAACACTACAGTTCGCCTATGATCAGGGGTCGAGGGCGCAAGAACAGGAAGATATTGAATATATGACTAGAAAAATAAAAGAAGATTAAGAGAAATTTCTCAACATATAAAAAACAATATACAGAACTCTAAGCAGTACACATGATGTATTGACTATGGCAACTGGAGAAATAATAAGACAATAAAGGACATAAAGTACTTGGGAATAACAATAGGGAAACAGGGTTTTTATGGAAGGGAATGTGAAACCTGACTCATTTAAGTAAGAAAAAATTTAGGAGTCCTGCATCCAGTGATCCGGGATCAAAATATAAGCAAGAAAACGAAAATTATAATATATAAACGTATGGTTGAAAGTATTGCATTGAATGAAGCAGAAATACGGCAGATCCCAGAACAACAGAAAAGAAAATTGAGAGCCCTGGAAATGGATTTACTCAGAACAGCTGCAGCAATATCTAGAAGAGAAAGAATTAGAAATGAACAGACTAAGGAAATAATGAATCAGCAACATGATATTATAGAGTAAATTGAAAAGAAACAACTCGCTTGCTTTGGGCATGTACAGCGAATGGACGAGAGAAGACTCCCAAGAAGATCCTTAGAATGGCAACCAAGTGAAAGGAGAAAACGTGGTAGACCAAGACCAGGATGGAATGACCAACTCAGAAAGATATTTGAGAATTGGAAATTACCTCCTGATTCCTGAAAGAATAGAGAAGACTGGAGAAGAGGGTTATGCGCCGGAAGACCGGTTAAGAAAACGGCAAGAAGAGGAAGAAGAAGAAGAAGAAGAAGAAGAAGAAGAAGAAGAAGAAGAAGAAGAAGATGCCCTTCGTTAAAAGCTAGTGTAACAATATTTAAAGTCTTTCTTAACCATATTTTACATGTGTTGGGTTCTTGTATTTGAGGGTTTTCCTCTCATAAGTAAATTAGGCACTGTCTGTGGCAATATTTTGATTCTTTTTGTGTTTACAGTAAATTACATACTTTTACCTACACTACACCACACCACACTACAGTACAGTAGACTACACTTCACTTCACTGTATAAGGGACAGGGTCATAATAATAAAATTAATAATAATAATAATAATAATAATAATAATAATAATAATAAAAGATAAATGTCTTAGTATTATTAGTAAGAATCCAGATGGAAAGAAGCATATTTTAAATTTGACTGCATTAGAAGCAAGAGCCTCTAGTGTTTTTGCAGGTAGATTTTTCCAATCCACTATAGTGCGATTCACAAAAGAGTATTTGCCTATATCAGTTCTTTGTTTTCTACATCGTATTTTCCAAGGATGATCTCTTTTATAATCTGGTTGCTCTAATGTACCGATACCTGCCCATGCCGTGTCCTCTCTGTATCCTCGGTCCCTTCTGTATGTCTTGTACATTACGCATAAACGCACCCGTTCCCTTCTCTTAGATGAGAGCTCCCGTTCTTCCCGTCCATAAACTACACGCCCATGATTTACAAACTTTCTGGCACTTTTTTAATTTTATCTAATGCCTCGATTTGTCTTTTTCTGTGCGGGTCCCAAGCATGCCTCTCCGTATTCTAAAATAGTACGAATAAGGGTAATATATGCTACTAATTTTTAGAATACGCATTACAAAGTGCAGTGCCATCCAGACTTTTTTCATCTTAGGTAAATTATTTATCATACATTTTTTTAACAAAATTAAAATATTAAGTTTAATATTAACTAATAGTTAATAGTTTTAAATAAAAAATAGCAATAATGTTATTAAAATCGTTTAAATCAGAGCTGCAGAACCACAAACGCTTAGTGTATTATATATTTCATTCTCTGACAACAAATAACTTAAATAAAATCGCATGATACTATCGATTAACAAATTAAACATTCGCTTACATACAAACTTAACTATCCAGGACTGAAGAAAGCCTACAGGATTTTACAAAATATGCTTCTTCTACTTTTCTTTTTATTAAATTTCGTTCCTTTTTCTTATTCTTTTTACTCTTTAAATTTCATTGAAATGTTACAATAACGCGACAACGACTCAGGAACTAGTTTGTATGAATTCCACTTTACTGTTGAGATATTATTTACCTATATGAATACGAGTTATAATTGTCAAAGTTATGTTTATATTTCCTTGAAATCTTTAGTTTTAGCATCAAAGGTTGTACGATTTTATGAGCAGGGTTGGGCAGAATTTGAATACATGTATTTAAAATACTATTTTAAATACATTGACATGTTCATCCACGCCAGTTGAATGACTGTTTTTCTGTGCAGGTTTTATTTATTCGCCAACTAGGAGTTTATTGTCTGATGACTTGTTTAAAAAATCAGTTGTTTTAAAGGGAAATTCAATTTCTTTGTGTTAAACATATTTTTGATATCATTTTATGAAGCCGTAGTAAGCCCGAAAACAGACATTCGCGCGATTTTTGGAGGATCGGGTCGTAAACGTGCAAGTCGGCAACACCGTGCGCGTAGCGCGCTTCATTCAAATCGAGTGACAAGTTTCTTAACTAGAGGTCTTACACATCCCTCGGTGTACTGGGAGAAATGGAAAGATCCTCACTTCTAGAAAATTTTTACTTTGATATTAGCTGAAATTTTATGGACATAAAAAATATAAATTTTCCTGAATAGAAATTAGAATGTGGAAAAAATTTTGAAATCTTGCACCTTTCAATAAATCAGGGTTTTCAACGAAAATGAGACCTGCACGATTCTTCATACTATCGAGCAACAAAAATTAATAAAAAACGTTTTTTAATTTAATAAAAACTATTTTGTTTTTTTTAATTCCCAGGAGTTTAATGTAAAGAAAAAGGAATAGCTAAAATTTCAAATGATTAAACATTCATTCATTTTTGTATTTTATTCAAAATATTGCATTACATAACTACTTTAAAAAGTATTACATAACTATTATTAAAGACGAGAAAGTACCTGCTGTGTTAGCATCGCTAGTTTTCAGATACTTTGAGCATTATACAATACATTATTATTATTATTTTCTAATTCGTTGCACTGCTCCGTTTTCATAATTACGTCAATCATACCAGTGATTTCTTTCAAGCACATGTCTCTCAAAAATCATACATGTTTTTAAATGGTTTATAAAATATCAAATACCCTTCATAATCTACTAGTCGTTGAATATTACCGCTTCACCACATTGCCGAAGGGTTATGTAACATTTAATGGAGTTAAAAGAGGTTCCTCCTGGGCTTGCATCTGCAAAGAGGTTTGCTTTGAAATAAAAATGAATTGTGATGCTCCGCGACAAAGACAATTAAAACTATGTAATCTATCTGACCGAAATTCTCAGACTTTGCTCGTTAAGAACTTCATTTGTACTCACATAGCTACGAAAACTCTTCAACTTCACAACCCGTGTCGAACAATCTTTATGAGACACTTTCTTTATTATGACTCATCATAACGATCCGGGGGGAAAAAAAGTTGTAAACTTCAAATAATCTCGTGGTCAAATAACCACTGTGCATTTGGAATCATATGGTTTTGAGAAGTTGACAGAGCTCTATTTTTTGGCGTTTTCAAGCGTATTGAATATCTTAGCGAACCGACACCATAAATTTAATATGAAACTGTGTGTTATTCACAATATGAGTTTACAACTGTGATTTGATGTACAGACGCGCATCGGGATTGTTATTTTAGTCAGTTGTCGAGTGACTTGCTTCCCTTAGAACGCTTTGTTTGGGAGTTATTCAAAGATATAATTGAGTGCTGCGGGTTGCATTTGACATGAATATTTGGATGCATTTTTAAAACAAATCCATCATATTCTTAAATTCAATGAGCAATTCGTCACATCTCTGTCTCTTTCGTCATTCATCTTTCTTTAGAGATCTTATTTATAAAGATCGGTTGCGTGTGGGAGCCACAAAAGGTATATTGTTTCATTAAATAATATAAGAGACTTTTTTTTTGTTTAGTTGTTTTTTTAGAATAAAAAAAATTAAAAAATTAAAGAAACACTGAATACACGGGAGAGAGTTCAAAACAGACGCTAAATATATACCGAAATATTACACGATCGCTCGCGAGTGAAATAATATCTACGCCAGTATTAAACGAGTATTATCTTTTCAGATCATTTCCTTTGATGGAACTGATAAGAATGACAAACGGATGCTGGCATTGCTATCGTTATCTCTGGATGCATTAAAAGTGAATGCTCCAGAAATAAATGCATGATAGTTCTAAAATTGCGAGTATCAGCGAGTGTTATCTGCTAACATTTAATTTTCACGTATGTTGAATTTTAGCAAATAAAATTAGTTTTCAAATAAAATAATTATTTATTATATTTTGGTGTTATTAATCTTGCTCGGGCTCAGTGAAATATTTTAGAATCTCGAAAAAGCCATAGGTGGTGCAAACTCCGCTGCGCGCGCTGAATTTTTACGACAAAAAAGCCGCGCGCATTGCAGAGTTGAAATCTATTATTTTATCTCCGCACTGCATGATGCATGTTTTTACTTTCTTACGCAAGCGTTCAATTATGTAATTTCTCGAGAATTCAAATATTCACCTTGTCGCGAAAGCGAATTTTTGCTGCTTAATGCATAACATTGACAAGGCAAACACAGAATGTTGTAATTTAGTGTCTATAACAGTAATGTTGAATGGATAAAAATATCTAGGCAGGTTGGGAATCGATCCCACTACCGCTACAAGGACCCACAAAGCATGGATTCTCGTTACACCAGGTAAAGAGGATTTTTTCTAAATTTCGCAACTGGATTTATCCTTAGCACTCTTCAAAAATGTTCTCATTTTCTTGTTCTTACTGTTCGTATTTGTGTAGAGACACAATATTCCTATTTCCTCAAACATTTGTATGCAGTGGTGTAATAGAAAACAAAATACTGCAAGAAGCAGACAAATCAGCACTGTATATGTAACTGTTGTTCAGTGATTAATAAATAGATCTGTTTAATCATAAATTTAATTTGCTTGCACATATCATCTAGATATACTAACCTGCTCAACATAACATTTACAGCATTGAATCTACTTCTAGAATAGTCCTCCTAGTTTTCTTGGAAATGCTTCAACTTGTCAAAGATATAAATTAACTTGTTGAAATTACTACAAGCTCTAGGGAAAGTACGACTTCACAATACAACACAATATCATCACAATATCTTGTCTGAACATGCTAATTTGAAAAGTTGACCGAATCACTGCTGATTACGAAACTACTGACAGAGGTAAAATACAAACCAAACCTAACTAGACACAGTGTTCTTTCGTTACTATATAAATCATCCATTCTTAGCCAATATTGTTCCTTTCTCCTTTTTGACGAAGAACATCAAAAGATGGAAGAGCTCTTTTTCCATCAGATTTTGACTTAGTTTCTAAGGTCTCTGCTATTGCCCACAGACCATTTTTCTTGAGCCTTCTGCCTTCTCTCTTTTGGATTTGTATGCATAATATCCTAGCACTTTCGTGGCCATGGCTCATTTCTTGAGTCTCGGTCGTCGCAAAGTATCCTGTAGCTCACGTCTCCGTGACTTTTTCTTTAGAGACCTCATTTATAAAGACTGGTTGCCTGTGAAAACTTCAAATCGTATACTACTGAAATAATATACAAGACGATGTACAATTAAAAAATGTTGATGTTTAAGCAAGTGGTTTACTTGCAATTTCTAAAACTGAAGATTTCCTTTCTGTCGCGGCTTTTAGAAGCTGAATGCGTGCAATACGTGCAATGCCTGCAATGCGAAACGACTAAATAATGAAGAGTTAAATAACAGTGTTATTGAATACTTCAATCCAATTTTTTCCATTGGTTAAATATAAACTGAGAATATATTGACTATAAGCAAAAGTTTAATTGTGTAACATCTAAACTTATGAAGACAATTATTATTACACTACATGATCAAAAATATTCGGACACGTACCTGAAAATGATTTAACAGTTTGTGGCGCCCTCCATCGGGAATGCTGGAATTAAATAGGGTGATGACAGCTTCCACGCTCGCAGGCATACTTTCAATCAGCTGCTGGAATGTTTCTTGGGGAATGGTAGCCCATTCTTAACAGTGCTACACTGAGGAGAGGTATCGAAGTAGGTCGGTAAGGACTAGCACAAACTCGGCCTTCCTAAACATCCAAAGGGTGTTCGATAGGATTGAAGTCATGACTCGGTGCAGGTCAGTCCATTACAGGGATGTTATTGTCATGTAATCACTCTGCCAGAGGCCGTGCAGTATGAACAGATGCTCGATAGTGTTAAAGATGCAATCGCTCTCCCCGAATTGCACTTCAACAGTGGAAAGCAAGAATGTGTTTAAAACATCAGCGTGTTCCTGTGCAGTGATAGTGCCACATAAAGCAACAAGGGGTGCAAGCCCCCTCCATGAAAAACACGACCATGCCATAACACCATTTTGGGCGTGTCCAGATACTTTTGATCACATACTGTTAGCCGAGTACAACTGGTGAGACGTTATTATGGTCTTTTAATACATGTTTATTGTAGCGGAAGTAGCTATTCACTTTGAATATTGAGAGGAAATGGTTTGTGTTTCTTTATAAACAAATTAATAAAGAGGGCTAACCTCAATAAAAGTTTATTTCGTTAGATAACGGTTAATTTCTAAGAAGCACTTATTTTGTCATTATATTAATGGAGATAAAGACTAATAAACATTATTGAATAAGACTTGTTCAACGCTTAAGGGACGCATGAGGCAATGTAAGAGCTGCACCGATCGCAACGAGGCTACATATGTGATCCGAACCACCAGACTTACCTCCTGCATTTTTTCTGGCTACTCTGAAATATGGGAGGTGCTTTTGCGAGAAATGCGGATCATGCAGAACACATAGAAAGTCGTGAATAAAAATTCACATGAGTTTAATAAATATAAAATTGAGAGATGGTGGGGTTTACTGACAATTTGGTGGTGAAAGACTACAGATGAACGCATGCGCTACTTAAAAGCTACCTTACATCTAATTGGCATTGCATTTCTGCGGCCGTCAACCCATTCGTTGATCATCGTTCTTGGTTGAGAGGACGACGGGTTCCGGCACTCTTGGTATTGTCTTTGACCCGCAGCGGCGCCACGTGGCTCTCTGAGTTAATGGAGGTGCGATGGTGGCGGCCCCTTCGTGTCCCCAGCGACTCAGGTGCGCCCCCGGCGACCTCGCGTTTCAATGTTCGGACGCTCACTGGCAGAGCGATGCAGCGGGCATTGTACGGTCTCGCACTGAGGCGATGCCAACTTCGCGCGCGAATACTCATACTTAATAACTTGAGCCCGGGGCAGATCCCTATCTGCTTATTGTGTTTTGGTGGCTCCATCTGTCCTAAGCTTATTGGGCGGTGAAGCGCCTTATTGCAGGCTCGGCGACATTGATCGCTCCGAGCGGCGATGACGGCGGTACGCGCTCGCGTCGCAGCCCACGTCCGCGGACTTGGCAACCGGGAGAAGGTGTCGCGGAGCCAACAGAAGGATTTCGATTCGTTCAGAAGAGAATGCGCTCAGAATCCCGAGATCACTTGATGCGTGAACCCAGTTCCTTCTAATATGTCGCGGTTCGCGAGTGGAGGTGTTCGACAACAAAAAAAAATTGAAAATAAACTTTGTGGACCAGATAAGGAAGACACGATGACAGTAAGCTGAAAGACTAAATAATATAGTTCCTGGGTAGAGGGGTCTATAAGAGTCCATATATCGTCCCCCAAAGCCATTTCTTTTCACAAGTGAAACAAAAGCAACGTATGAATCTGAAAAAATAGTAACAGCCTGTAACATCCAGTTACAGTTTCCACGCACCCATTTTTCGTTATCCGTTTTTACAATGAAAAATAAAATGTAAAACAACTCACTTTATCCAGTAATGTAATAAAAGTGTGAGAGAATCACAGCACCTACAAGACCTTTATTGTTTCTCTAATTCTAATGTAACTTTCATATCTGTCCTGGGGACAGAATTAAGATTCACCAAAAGGTCAAAATTAGGCACACAACAATATTTGCACATACTGTCGAGTAAAAAACGATGCGAACTTTAGGTCAATTTCAATCAAATTACCTTATACCAGACATTTCAACCTACGTCCGGGCGCATGCATAATAGTAATACATTTTTCATTTTGCAATCCCAATGTCTTAGATTTTTAAAACAGTTTTTTTATTAAAAAATGAGGGAATCCTTGTGTCAGGTAATTCTCCCCGCCTTTGACGAACACCTGTTTGTTTTCATCAACTGAAGTGTAAACAATAAATTCTCGTGGCCGCTTTCAAGCAACAGACGGAGACGGGCGGAAAGCGGAAATCGGGTGGAGACGAATTAGTAGACGGGACGATACATGGACACTTTGTACCACCCAAGCTATAGGACTACTGCGAAGAAAGTGGCGACTTTTGTGCAACCAATCAATCACTCAACATTCACGTCCACGTCCTGATCCGGTCGACCTATTCTGGTACTTGTGGCCGCTCTTGACTTCACTTTTCGTCCACCTGTGGAAAACAAAACATGATATGATTCATTTTTTCTGAAAAAATTAACACTAAGAGCTCCTTCTTCCTATTTCACGTGTCTTGTGATTAGAATAGTCATTTAAACACTTTAATGTATTAAAACAAACTTTTTTAAACTGTTATCAGTAATCTTGGATCACTATTTTTATTATTTTTATCTATATATTCAAAACACTAAATATTCTGAATTTTCTCTTAAACAAAAGACACTACTCTTTTGATGTGTTTTCATTTGCCCCTATTAACTGATTGAATAGTTTCGGCGCTAAAAATTAATAGCTTAAAATGTAGCAAATAATATGCCGTCATATTGTTGTGAGAGTTGCAGTCTATGTATAGCAAGTAGTCGATGCTCCGTCTAGTGTGAGTCAAGGGCACCCCTGAAAGTATTCAAAGGAGCTCCGTAGCATGACGCCTTAAACATTTAATTCCTGTAAATATGATCAATCTCCGATTGCCCCTTTTTCACCTGATTATTTGGAGTACTAATTACTATGATATTTCGCGAAAAAGGTGAAAAGGTATCGTTTTCGGACGAGTCCCGCTTCAGTTTGTGCTAGAGTAATGAGCACATGGATCGTTACGCTACGATAGTTAACGCAGTCTGGCAGCCTGCAGATGTTCCGCGGCCTAGCGGTCACGCGCCAAGTGTCATAGTTTGGGTTGCGATTAGCTATGATATGCGATCTTGACCCGTACGTATAGAATATACTGAATAGCAACCGCTACATTAGGCAGGTTTTAGAACCCGAGATACTTCCCCTCCTGCAAGTATTTCCACATACCACATTTCAGCAGGACAATGCCCGACTTGGTGAGGCGAAGAATGTGCAAGCTTTCTGCGAATAACTAAAACCACCGACACCTTGGCCTCCAAGTTCGCCTAACATGTCGTTCATTAAACATAACTGGGATACCGCCAATCAGCAAATAGTTCGTTCTAGTTCCATTGTTTATGCTTCGTGGACGCCATACAAACCGTGAGGCAGTATGTTCCCCAGCAGCATATCCAGTCTCTCTATGAAACCCATGTCACGACGTCTAGAGATTCTGATGGCAACGCTTGGCGGCTTCACACCGTACTAAACAATCACGGTTAAAACACATGTAGTTTAGTAATTGTAATCATGTGAATACAGTCGTGTTCTCAATCTTTGGAATAAATTTCATTGTAATCGTATGTCTCCTTGATATTGCCATTTTCACAAACAGAAGCATAAAAAATCGACTATGTAGTAACAGCTGAGGATTTCAATATCAGATAAAGTAATGTTAAAGTCCAAGGTGTAACTAGAAGTTTTGGCAACACCACCATAAATAACAATGAAAACAATTCTTTTTTATCTATAAAAAGACCACTATATGGTTTTTAGACATTTATTCATACTCCTCCAGGAGGAACCATAGGCCACAGAAACCTCGGTTCTTTGTAGACTCTTGAAACATGTACCTGAATCCCAGTTTCTCGGTGGTTTCTACGTGGTTAGAGTGAACGTGGTTGCAGTGAGTAAGTAAGCAATGCAAATCCTCTGACTGTTCGAGCTTTTCCGGATGTCCCAACAGTTGGGCCGACCTTGTGGCAGGATTGCGGATGTAGCCCACCTGTAGTAAAGGTCAACAGGAGACCACAAATCAACCGCCAGGATGCGTCAACTTCTGGTGGTACGTCGTTAGTGCTTTGTGCGCTTTGAGGAGACGAGTTGAGGGCTTCGAGCAGCCCGAGTATTGATCAGGGTGGCACTCAGTTCGGCTCCTGGCTTCCTGGTGTCAGTGCCCCACACTCATGGGTAATGGAGAAGGGCTTTCTCCCAGCGCATAGAAAGTGGTTCTTATTCGTCTCCAGTATTTGTATCCGGCGGCTAACCTGACGGAGAATTAGTGGAACCCGAAAGGGCTGTGGCTTAGAGCGAAAAGCTCAAGATGCACGCTCTGGGGCGAGTCAAATACTTTCTGGTATGAAACAAAAGCGTACTTGGACGCCTCGGCCACCTATAACCGCAAAAATTCCACTATCAATGAAGATATTCAAAAGATTGCATGAGCTCCTAAAAGAACCCTATCTATAACCACCTGTCATTACAAATGATAAAACACCTAAACTAGGACAAGGTACTAGAATGTGTAAAGGTAAAGATATTAATTCCTATTGCTTTCTATTCATATCTAAAATAGTCGCTCACTCGTTGGAATAAAATTAATCAATCAAAACAAAGTAGAACCTAAAGAATTTCCAACTTTATTTTCTCCAACAAGATGTAGTGAGATATTCGTATCTATACCAGAAACGCCTAAATGAAAAAAGCAAGACAAAATAAAACAAATACAAAATGGAAAAATATTAAGACCATTACAAAGAAAGCTGCTATAATCTTGGGGCATTAGAAGAAAGAAATTGAATAAAAGAGAATTAAAGATATGGAATGAAGCGATATCAGATATTTTCCAGTGTTTTAATAGTTATTTTCTCTAATTATTTTTGTTTGGTATTCCTGGGATCATTTATAGCACGAAAAATAAATTTATATTGCATTATTTTACATTTGTGAAAATTTGTTTTAATTCAACTTTCTCATACATGGTAAGCATAAATTTAATAAAGTCGAATTACATATTCTAAGATGTCTATTGTTATGTTAATAGTTAAATCTTATTTTTATTAATAAATTTATGTAATTTTAATAAGTTATACGCGTTGTTTCCAGTGGTATCTATCTGCTCTTTCGAAAAGAAGTCGGCCATTCATTAGTATCTTCATTAGTGAAGAAACTTACAATCACTTTAATTGTAATAATTGTGTTTAATTTGGGATAAAGTAACTCCAACCAGACTTACGATACTTCAAAAGAAAGAAAAACTACAGAGGCAAACTCTTTTTATTTTTTATCCAAAATTATATAAAATTATAGAAAGTCCAAAGGGACAGGAGAACCGTTACAGGATCACGCATGTCCGCATGAGACCCAAGTGGTCTCGAGACCCGCACGTCAACGTGCGAACCAGCAACGGCACGACGAGCACGAGAGTTGGGCGCGCCGTCGCAGGGCTCTGGGACAAGTTTCCTTTGCCTGACGTCAGCGTTCGCATTTGGAGCGTTTGACAGTTTCGTTGTTGGAGGGCCCGCTTTGAAAGGGCGAGAAAGGTTAGGTTTGCCTTGCTTTCAGATTATCGTACATAATTCCACCATCTTTCAATTGCTTGATTAATGATGAATAAATGGGTAGTATTCAAAAGTCCAATTGTAAGAAGTTTCACTAATTTTTGCAATGTGCATTCCTTAAGTAAGACTGACTTGCATTTGTAGCGGTTGTATGAATGGTGAAGAGTAAATATTTGTTGCTAAACTGGAACTGTTTAGGATTATCTTGGCTTGAAAAATACTTCCTTAATTAATTTTAAAAAAATCTTGAGTGAAGAAATATTTGTGAGAACGTGTGATAACCCTGAAGTCTTAAAGATGCGGTTAGAATTTGATAATGTGAAAATCTCTTGCATACGAACACACTATTACAATTCTAGTAGCAATATTCCTAACATTATTTACAGTTAGATTCACTTCTTAAATAAAATCACAGCACATCTTCTTCGGGTTGTTGAAATGAATTTTCTGCTTGAATGTCAGAGTGCTTCAACATCTTTATTGTTAAAATAGCACTTGTGGGTATTTCTCCTTTAACTTTTTAATGGTAAGGTATTACTCGTATTTTTGATGGAATATTTATTTTTCAAATAAGTAGAAGTTTAAACAATGATCATTGTCTCAGGTCACAGAACTCCTTTTGAGCATCCTGCAATTGTATGTGCAATCGTGTCTGAATGTGGGATTTTGTCAGTCTTTAGCACAATAACAAATAATTCAATGTTATTGAAGTGGCCATCCTCATATAATAATGGCATATAAGAAACCATTTTTGGTTGTCTGATACTGCTTACAGAACCAGAAACATCTGCTGCAATCCAACAATTTGGTAGAAAATAGGACGCCATCCAATGAAGAGAATTTACATTCAGTCAATAGCATATTATGCGACATATTTCCATTTATTCGCTGAGTACGAGTGGCCATACATCGATAGTCATTGCTTAGTTGGTCAAAATATTCGTGTGAGAAGTGATTTCCTCTTCTCTCCTCTTCGGTGCCCCGCGGTACAAGTTTCGTTAGCGAAGACTTCACGCGCCGTCGACGCTGGCAGCGCCAGGACACAGTCCCGCGGTCCCTCCGCTGCCGCAAGCCTAGACCTGCCAGTAGATGCTGGTCGGCTCGCCGGAGATGGCGTCGTCCGCTGCTTTCTCTACTTCCGCCCCCAACCACTCCTCGTCCGTCTCCAGGGCGACGGCCTTTGCCAGCAGGCCGCGCAAAATCCGCTCCTCGCTCTCCTTCTTCAGCATCTCTGGGGACAGCCACGGCGACGCAGGTCAAGTCTCCGAACTCTACTCAACTATACGAGGACGCGCCGAGAGTGTAGAGGAAACAGTGGAGATTGCGATTGCGATGAATTGGGTAGTCATGCGCCCTGGGAAAGTGCACACTGTGCTTTCAGTTACTTGAAAAATGTGGAGAAGAACAAATCGCGGACACTATTTTTGGCGATCATGGTGAGACCTATTGTGGAAATTACAAAGCACAAATATACAGAGGAAAAATTATGTCGAGTAATGAGTGTCGAGTAGTGAGGCCGAATAAATACAACACAACAACAAATAATCATTTAAGGAATTTTACTCGTAGTTGACACCCTGAAAAGTTGCAAAACATGCGAATAGTTTATAAACAACAGTATCGTATCAATTGTGTATTTTAAATATGATTAAGGAGGTTGACATACTACTGATGTAACTTTTTAAAAATGAAAAATGAGTGATTATCGCCATTTGTTGATTATGAACGAAAAATTGTCTCTGGGCATTCTCGGGAAGACCAGTTTTCCACCAAGAAGTTTGGAATGAAATAACTATTTTAGTTAGTTTTTGAGAAAGTAAAATATTGAGAAGAATAGCACTTCGAAATATTACTTGCCATATCAACATTTTTTGTGGGACGAAACCTGCTTTTCGTTATTGCGAAATACTTGCACCCTACCTTGTACATAGCATCAAATACGTAGAAATTTGCGGCGAAATGTTCATCATTTTAATATCTATTTTTGTAAACAATATGTTCATAGAAATTCAAAAACTAACTTTTTAAGATCCGACATCAAGTGTAGTTCCTCTTTCTTGTGAACTTACATTCCCGTGCACACCATTTATATGATAGCAAAGACTCTTGATCTAAAAAAATATTCTTTTCGGATTTGAGATAAATGGAGATCATTAAAATAATAATTTTCTTTTAGAAAATAATAACTTCAATTTTTTTTATTGTCCGACTCTTAAAGTACTTATAAATTTGAATATGCCACATCCAGTGCCTACGCGTACGACAGCAAATCACATAATTTTATTCTATATTTTGAAATTCATTGCCATTAACCTTCAACATTAAAAACTCATACCATTCACCAAGGATAAACATCTCTCTCAAATTCTTTCAAATCAATTCTCCGCGTCTTAACTTTCTTATTCAGTCTGCAAAACCACCTGGGAGCTGCAGGTGTGATCGATTCCCCATCACGACCGCCCTCGGGCGCGTCGACCCACCGCAATTTCCGCCTGAGCCCCGATCACGAAACGCCTGCGCGCGTCTGCGGGAACAGCGTGTACACGGATTCCGGAGCTTTCAACTTCGACCTTAGCCCTTTGACGAGCGGGCAGACTGCCGACCCTGCCGCAATCGGCTTCCCGGCGAGAGGGCGCAAATCGAATCCCGCCGTTCGGACGCGCTCGGCGATTCGCCGAGGGCGCCGCGCCTCCCGTCATAGCGCAACTACTGCGACTTTGCATCCGTAGCGCAGAGCATTTGAACTGCGCGCCCGAAAGTAGTGACCAAGTCGACTTTTCTCTAAACGGAAAAAGGTTCTCCTGAAAACTGTACCAAGCTTATTCAAATAAAGATTCGTTATATACGTATGTATAATAAATTGCATTGATTTAAGATGTGAAGCGTTGAATTTTATTTATACATGTATCGTTATGGTCCGCTGTGGGACACGTCTACTGGAATAGTTTTTGATATAAAGAATGTTCTTACTGAAATGAGAAGAGTGCGTTTTGAGAGTGGTCTTTAAAGAAGTAATACAGTTCAGTGCTGTAATACCCAGTGGGGATTGATTGTGATGTGTGTGATTCAAAATCGAATGTATATAGAAGTTTAAAAATAATACGAACTCAAAAATGTCGTCACTAATACTACTTGGTTTTATCTAGTAATATGAATTACAGTTGCTTTTACTGCCTATCCGAATTGGGGGTGAACCTTTTTAAACAATAAACGGTGCGTGAAAATCTACTTCGGAGGTGATTATGCATAAAAATTAATAACTTTAAAACATCCTTAATTTGAAACATGTACATTAAAAATTAATTTGAACCCAAAAAAGGAAACATAATACATACCTTTTATTTCTGTGTACAGGCGACGATATTTCGCGTTGTTGGCATCCACTTCTACCATGATGACGTACTCACGGAATGCTGGCATATTCGTCATACGTAGATCAAGGTCAATTAGAGTACTGTTGATCCTCATTGCGGATTCTAAGTGTTCGCCTCCGCTCTGGAAACGAAAATTCCATGAGATCGATATCCAGGTAAGAACAAAATGCCACCTGTTTGTACACTCTTGGAAACATTAAGTTTCGAGTCGAAAATGCCTGGGACCGAGAGGTTGATGGCGCTGGACGTCCCTGCTTGCTGACAGCGCTATCTAACGTTAATTTTCGAAACTATGTTTCGTAGATCGAACTATGAAGATTAAATTGATTTTATTGGAGAGCGTATACAATACTTTACCGCCCATTGAGAGCTAAATAGTAGTAATACAGAGGAAAAGGACTTCCGTGATTCCTGCCCATGAAACTGAATTGGCATTCACGTTTGTAAACGTAATGTCGCTTTCAAGTTTCGATAATATAAAATTTGTTATAAGAAGAGAGTTAGCTGAATGCCTGTGTCAGCGTGTTGTTCTAGAACTCGTGAAGTAGTAAGTTCGATTCCCAGTCTACGTAGATATTTTATCCATTATACAGTGCCATAAAATTCACTAAATTACAACATCCTACATGTGTCTTGTCAATGTTAGGCAAAATTCGCTATCGCGAATAAGGAATGCAAACAAGCTATTCTATACAAGTGGTAATAGAAGGTCTGCACGTGCGGCATTGAGACCAAAATAATATAATCTAATAGATAATAATCTTAAATTGTGAATAAAAATGTTAAAATATTGCACAGTTATTTTCACTTTTACTTGAACGAAAATGTTTTTATGCCGTAGAATACAAATACAAAATATGACCATGAATTTACTCGTAAAAGCTCGTAAGACAATTCGTTTAACAAGTAATGTCACAAAATTCTAGTGATATATGACAAAAAATTATCGACTTTGTTTTTGTATCTTTAAGTAATTCATTAAATTCCATCTTTGCTATCTCCTGTTTGCCTTGATATGCTTGCACTCTCTACTATACTATTATATAGATAATAGAATAAAATATACTAAAACTACAGTCCTCACTAATCAGGTCTATACTAAAAAATAACAGTCTCACTCCAGACGGTCGGGGAGCCGGGGAGCGGGACGTTGTTTGCTAACCTTGCTGCAAGGATGGTCCCTCGACAGAACAGTGGCGGGCCATTAGTAGAGGGAGTCCCCTCTTATATGTTTCGTCATAGGCGGCGAGTCGGTTTGGCGTTGGGAGCAAAACCCGCACAATAACTTAAACGTTATCGAGACACAATGAGGAGAATCCGGAGGATAACTAAGGTTCGGAAGCTTTGGCGTATTTCCAGATGCTGCCCAAGAATGAAGTGTTTGATAGAAGCAGCGGTGAAAACCCTGCTTTAAACTTCTCTCACAACTGCGAATAACTTACCAGATTTTCCTGGATGCTCCAGAACCTATGCGCAGACTTTCGGATGCCTGATCTGTGATTCAGAAAGTACAGCTCGAAAATCCAGTGACAAAAGAAACGCCAGATCTATTGTTGGCATTTGCAGAGGAAAATTTACTAGGCTGATGTTCAAATTTCTCTGAATGAGAGTATTATTTCCCCCTCTCATGCCAAATGATGGACGCCGTTCCCGTTTTCCAGACCCGCAAGGAAATCAACTATGATTTCTCGTACGTTTAAGCAAGTACGCCTAGGTCAGGTCGTTTCTCAGTTACCACTTTGAGCTGGAATGTCATAATCGATGTATTGTAATGATCCATAGAATCGAAGGTCACTTTAAATGATGCTCAGTATCTCCACAACTGGGAGATATGGATACATCAGTAAACAATTTCATCCTAAGGGTATAATTCAATTCGCAGCACGACAGTTTCTTTTTCATACTCGGCTTCGGTTCAATCGTGGTTTGCGGAGCTACAAGATATTCAGGTAGTTGACAGTCGCCAATGCGCATCAAGATCCGAATCTTCAGCTCTCCGTATATAGTCATCATTTGAATTCGTAATCAGTAAGTGCAGGCTTGGCACACATGCTTCCCACATATCCCTTACACATTATAATCTATACGTTTTCTGGACCTTCCAATATTATACAACAATTCAAACGGCCCAATTCGCCGGATAACGGCAATTTTTCCTAGCGGAGATTCGCTAAGTAACATATCAGAATTTTCTCTTGAAATTGTATCTCAATCTCATAGAGAAGTTTGGGCAGCATATTTAAAAGAATCAAACTTAATACTCCATAATAAATAGCTTATCAAAATATTAATTTTAAGACCTATAACACCTCCAGCACACGTTCACAATAATAATGAACCTATTTAACTGGGCTACCACCAAATAGTACTGTAAACTATCTCGGGCTTCATATAGACACTAAACTGAAGCTGGGGCCAACACATCAAGATAAAATACCAACAAATCAAAAAATAAAGCTACATCAAACTAAAACCCATCATTAATCGATCTTCCCACCTCCCATTCCCAAAAAACAAAACATGCATTTAGACCACTCCTCCTAACATGCCTCTCCCAGTTATGGATCTCCGCAAGCAAAAAAAACGCTTAACAAGCTTCAAATAATCCAAGAACCAGTTTCTTTAGGGAACTATCACAAATGCTCCTTTTAGGTTTGTTACAAAACACAGCTTCCACAAAAGAATTCCGAACCATAGACTTCCATACAGCACGCAACATAACATATCATTCCACCCAGTTTCTATCATTCCAATACTCTCAAATTCCTCACCTAAGCCAACCTTGAGACTCCTGAAAATAACTCCTCACAGAAACGCAGAATTAAAACTAGATATCCATACCATGCATTCCTAATTAAATTTTCCAGATTGTTTTTTAGATGTGTCTGCAAAAGATTTCTATCGTCCAAATTAAGTACTGTACTTTATTCTAGGAAATTGGCAATGTAAGCCTTCACAACATATGTAAAAGTGCATTTATTAAAAGTACTGATCTAATGTTATGCTCTTTAAAAAATAAAACTATAATTTAAAAAACAGATCCTGAATCCTTAATTGAAAATCTTTGAGGCAGAGACAAAAGACGCACCAATGGCCGAAAAACTTGGCCTGATCTGGGCCTAACAACCTCCGATGCGTTCTGTAATCTAATGCCAAGGAAGCCTGGGAGGAAAATCCGTCACAGTGCGCAACTATGCGGCGAGACCTTTGGGTTCTCCTACGTAGGATGAGAATGTGTAGTAGAATCTTGCAGGGTTTTAGCAAGCAACAGGGGATAAGGCAAAAATCTAAGAAGCGCGCTCGAGCATCGTATTCGCATCCTGCCTGCCTTGAGTTCTGGAAGACAATCGAATTCTACCGCTGAGCTAAACGAAACTTTCGTATATCAGTTACTTGCATAAATATTATTGTCCCAAATTTCCGACAACGTTTGAAATGTCTTCAGCATACCTAGACAATTGCCAAATAATGTTGATACATGACATGTTCTTTCTATTCAAGCGGAAATTAAAAACAGGAATTACTGAAATACATATACTAGTAATATTGGCTTCATTCAGGGAGTCCCACGCAACTATGGACCACCCTTATAACCTTCTAAATGGTTTCCCCGAATATCGACTGAATTAGCAGTTTTGCGCTCAACAATGCAGAATCATGGGCAAGTGATAAGGTGTAGAATATTGTTTAAAATATATTTAAGTTTCGACATATTTTAATCACCTTTATCTTTTTTCTTTCCAGCAAATAGATTAATATCATTAAGAAAAGGAATGCAATGACGTAAATATTGCTAATATTTTTGAAGTATTTTATGCATAAAATTCATACTTTCTGTCGTGAGATTTTAAATTAAACGTGCATATTTTTTTCTGTAGCTGCCGTCCGCCAACTGTTTCGCATTGGCGAACGTGAAACTTTACGGCTGCTCTCGCTCCTCGCCGTAAAAGTACAACCGGCGCCACGAACGACGAACTTCCCCAAAGAGAGACAGGTTTTGAAAGGGTTGCTACAGGAAATCTGGTGTTTTATATTTAAAATCACAGGATGGAAAGTATAATTTTCTCAAATACTGTCAAAAACATTAATGTGTTCATCATTGGCATTCGTCTCTTTTATAATCTATCTATTGCTAGTGGAGATAAATAAATGGTTTCAATTAAAAAATCAAAGATGATTCTATTTCTCTCGCAAACATAAAATATTTCGAAGAATTATCCTACTAGAATATTACTTGCCCTCATGATATTCCACATTGTTGAGCAAAAACTACATTTCCGATCTCGGTGAACACGCTTCGAAGTTATGAAGTGTAATGAGCTAATATAAACTAAACATATACATATAAAAGCTGGGTTGCCACAAAAGTCAAATTAAAAATAATAATGCAGTTATTGTGGCATTCCCCGACAAAGCAAAATAGTCGCTTTGTTTTTGTGTTTAAATTCTCAATAATACTTTGCCACTCGTCTACAATTAAACTTATCCCTGATGAATGGGTTACTGAACCAATTGGAATGAATTTGAGTTTGCTTAGATTATTTCTTGATACGTGACCCGTGATGCTTGAATTGTTAACACACGGGGCGGTGGTTTGAGCCATTTTGGCGCGGAAAAATCTGTCAACACAGAGTGAGAAAGTGCCCAGGAATTTCTGTAAGGGTGCCAATATACAGGTGTCCCATTTTAACTTGACAACTTGGATGATTCCGACAACTCGTATTCTACGGACAAAAATACATAAGTTTTGTCTGTAAAACTATTTTTTCCGATTTGTTATAAGGGTGGAGCTGTAATTGCAAAAATTTGATTTTCGAAGATTTCCGGATCTGGTCAATTGGAGTGGTTTAGAGTGTAGAATCCGATACTGGAAATAAAAATGGGGGTTTCCTATTTTAAGATTGTATTTGCCCACTCCCCACTCGTGGGGGGCAGGGGAGCTGATTTTAAGCAATAGAATGATTCCCCTATCAAAACTTGTAAAAGATTTGGTCTCAGCTCATTTTTGTAAACATACGCGTAATTTTTTCAGTTATTTGGTGTATTTTAC